CTTAAGGCTTCTCAAGTATTTTTTTTCCTTTCTTGAGATTCACCCTCTATGTCAATAATAAAATCCAAAAATTTCCAAATTTAAGGTATTAAAGTAAGAGTTATGTATCTGTTGCGGCTCGGGTGTTACTATTCAAATCCAATAAATGAAGTGTAGGCAAGCATTTCATTTTTTCTAATTTAGCTTCTTGAAATTAAGTTCTAAACTTTTAGTAGGTTCATATTGGGGGAATTTCACCCAAGATTCATACACGAAGCTAGAGTACATTACGATCTAAAGGCAGTATTTCATTGAATTTAAAGAAATGGTAAATTTCCTAAGTTTTAAATTCTGGACCGAATTTGCATTTTATTTTTCTTTTTGTGTCTAAAATAAACTTAAGAGAAAATACCTATGTGTACCCATAAGAAGTTACAAAATTTAGAAGAAATTTGATAGGTAATAGAAACCTCATCCTATTTCTAAAATAATGAATGTTGGCTAAAAGGGAGAAGGCACGCGTTGGACGACGTTGACCGTAGTGAGTCTAAAGCTCAGCAGGACAAGTGGCAAATGCTGAGCAGAGAGAATCGTTCAGCTACTAATGGTGACGTGCATGTAGATTAACTCGATCCCTGAACCTTGATTCGATCAAAAAGCTTGCGTGAGCAACTCGTTAGCCTTTGACCATAACAAAAAATGCAACCAGAAACCGATCCAATGACTCAATGAGTAACCGAGATCTACAAAAAATCCCCATGCGTGAAATTGCACGTGAAAACCCTTTCTCAACGTGTGTAAGTGCATGTGAGTGTCATTTTGTTCGTTCGACCTCCATTTGTCAGTTTTTTGTCTTTACTTCGATATTAACATAATTATGCTTGAATTAGGATCTACGAGAGAAATTCCATAAATTCTTGAGCTCCAAACACGTGGAATAGCTGGCTCAAGAAGGTAAGCGTCATTCAAGTAAGTAACCACATAGACTTTAGGCAAGTAATACTTGTAAAGATCGCTAGGACATGATAGCATGCAACGAGCATTCCTTAACTTAGATGGTCAAAAATACATGTTAACGACCTCAGAAAAGCTTTATTTTTGTGAGTATGTATTGTATGTATGTCTCTTATGTATTATATGCTTGATTAAAATAAAAATTGAGCAATATGGATGAGTACATCATGCATGATGGAAGAAATTACCAAAATTCCCCTATGATAAAATTTCGTATGAATGTCGTTTTCTATGTTTTCCATTGCATAGGAAATTAGAATTGGTAAGAGCGACATGTGTTTCGCAAGCACTAGAAAATCGTGATAAGATTAGGACGAGATAGCGTGTGTAGAATCTTGATAAGGTCCATAGATTTCTAGTGGACTAAATATAATAAGAATAAAAAAATGTTCGTCTCCTTAGCCACTTAAACGTATCAAAGTTGGGTGGAAAACTTTATTACTTTTAGTTTCATATTGTTTGGAATTGTCAAATGGCCAAATTGACTTCGTCTTTGTTGGGGATTTAAGGGGATCGAGATTAAATCATGATCACAAACATCATTTATGCATTTATGGGGAGTATAAATACCAAGAAATTGTTATGTAAAAATCAAAATCGTGGATGAATGAAATTGAGATCTCAAATTTAGACGTTTCCTTATAAATTGGAACATCATATTAGTCCTTTCTAAGTTTCAAGCAATTCTTGTGATAGAATTGCATCCAAGCCATTCAATTAAGCCTTGATTAAGTTTGATTGCGGAGTGACTCGATTTAGAACAAGGTTACCAAATCATGTTTTTAGATCTTCGATTGTAAGAGGTAATCTAATTCTAGCCTTATCTCTTGGTTGATCTGAATTTTGTATAAGGAGGTGTTAATTACTTTGATTCAAGTGTTTTTGCTTCAACAAAAGCATGATTCGTTGGATTAAGGATTAGGGTTGCCTTATGAAAATACCGTAGGATAGTGAGCGGTGATAAAAAATCTAGACTTGTGTTTACCCAAAGATGTGATTAGAGGCCCCTAATAAAATGGTACATCTCCACGACTCCAAAGAATGACCAAGGTAACTATCTAGGCTATGAGATGCATGGATGATACGCTATCTTTAGACCCTCCAATCCCTTTCCACTACAATATTAGTACTATTGAGCTAAGCACATGCTAGTAGTTTGAGCTTTTGTTCCGTTGAATGGCCTGCAGCCTCTTGAATATAGCCACTATGTTGTTAACCTGTTCCTTAAAAAGGGAGTGTGGGATACCATGAGATAGCCTAATTGTTGGCTAGTGTAGAATTATCACATCCCCAAATATAGGTGACTCTCTGGCCATAAGGAAGAAACCAACCAACCTCTTTTCCAAGATGTTCATACTAGAAATCACCATAATATCTGATTAGAATTTTATGAAGACGTGCCTCAATCTAGGTATTCGATCCCTCATTGCATAAGCAAAGAAGGTTTCCATGGTCAAAGAATAGAAAGATGGTACAAATTAAGCAAGAAAAGGTAGCATCTAGGCCGTTACTTCAACTTCCTTTTACACTTTGGTACAAGTACTGTCGACCCAGGCCTAGGCCAACCAGGATTGTGTGAACGATAGTTCATTTTGATTATCTTGCATAGTTGATCCGTCAAAAGAGGGGACGTAGAATTATGAGGGTAATCTTAATAGTTGACAAGCATAGGGGATCACTTCCCTAACCTTGGGTGACTAGATTGTCCTGTGGATAGGGTTCGCCAACGAACCTCCCATGGATGATGAGAGCAGCCTAGCACTTACCATGCTATCCCAATTAAAATATTGGCATATATCTTTGGTGCAATGCATATCTTTGTTCATTTCATACATTACATAACCATTTCTTATCATTACATAAAGTGAATGTAATCTATGCTACCATACTTTCATAATATGTCACATTCACAATAGCATAATAAGTAAACATGAAATTACAAAACGTAACATTTGTCATCATAACAACACGTCATAACATAATATGCAAATATAGAAATCACAAGGGACGACACAAGCAAGGGCCACGGGGAATCCGCCACTCGTGCTTCAAACAATTCATCAAACCAAAACAGTAGTGAAGAAACTTACCAAGGTAGTTAAGTTGAAGTCCCTAAATTGTACTTGGAGCTAGTTCAATTTTTCCTTTTGAAATCCAAGTAAACCTATGCGAGTTCACGACACTTAATTAGCACAAATCGAGCAAAATGCAATACGAATGGAAATCAAGAATACTCCGAACAAAATAAAATAGAAAAATAAAAGGAAAATACAATAAGAAAAAGAAAGAAAAAGGAGATATTGTAGAGCCAAACGGTTAATGGAAAAGAATAGACTAGAAAAGAAAAAAAAATAAATAAATATGGTAAGAAAATTTAAGCCAAGATGTAGGAGCAATAATTGATTAAAAGAAAAAGAGGAAATTTGAAGAATTAAAATAAATACGATTAATTTTAAAAATACATAGAGGAAATTTAATAGAGAAAAAATTAAGGATTTGGTGAAAATTAAAAGACAAAACCGATGAAATGTCATGTCAAGAAACTCCATCAACTTCTTTCTAGTAATAATATCTTTCCTAAAACAATAATAATAGAAAATAACATATTTAATGAAAATGGAATTATATATATATATAACCCTCCAAGACTCCGCTCATAGAGTCTCTAATACTCACATGAAGTCTAACACATGGAGCATTGTAAAATTTAGAGAATTGACATTGAACTTGATGTCATGGTTCTTATAGGTTGACTTGAATATAAAGGACAAAATCGAACTTTCTCAATGATAAATTGGTGACACTAGCCTAAGCTAATCAGGTAAGTGGCTTTACTATCGGCATGATTATATTTGATGTTGACACGTGCCCTATGGTTCTGCACGTGTCATATATATTGATATGTGTGAACTGTTCATTGATCGATATGCTTATGCTATGGTATTCATATGTTCTAATATGTTAATTGTATGTTAATATTTATGGTACGATGTGTTCAATGATATGTTTGAGATATGATGCGAAAATAATGCATTGAACGTAATGTAATGATAGGAGTAAGATATGTTGATGAAACGTTAAGGTTAGGTTACGTATAGAAGTGCAATGGATATGAGAGATTGATAAAAATGATATGGTTATAATCAATTGATAAAAGTATATGGTTAGGTTATGGGTAGAAAGGGATAGGATCATGAAAGATTGATAGAACGATAGTGTTAAGATATATTTCTATAACGATATGACTAAGGTATGTTCATGAAATCGATATCATCCGAACACAATTTTCACCTTTATAAAAAAATTTAACACCCTCTTGTAATTAAATATTATTTTATATTTAATTTTTGTGTTGTTTATCTTCATTTAAATTTATTTTTTATCGAATTTTCATGTTTTATTTTATTTTACTTTTCATTTTTTGTTTGCTTTTTCATATTTTTAATTTTGGTCGGAAATCCAAATTCTTGAAAATCGGAAATCAAGAAAGATTGTGGAACTTATATTGGGAAACTTTTAATAAGATATATGGAAATTCAAGGGTTGTGCCTACCATCCTATTTTAAAATTGATGTGAAGATTTGCAGTAACATGAGCATTTAATACCTATTTTAGATTTTATTATTCTAAACTTTCTCTAATATTTGTCAGTAGAAATCATTATTTTTTTAGTTTTAATATAAAAACGATATTACAATTTTGAAAACTTGTTTCCATACACAAATTTAATTTTTTTATATAATTTTGGAGAAAAACAATACCCGTTCATTATCAAATACATTTCATACAAAAAAATAATAATAAAAGAAAAAAAAAAACAACAACAACAACCTTTTCGTGTTATCCCATTATTTTTCATTTGTTCCTCAAGGATAATTCCACCAAAAGGAGATAATAAAGCTTCTCTATCTTTTATAGATCCACTTGTGTATCAATTCATCAACATTAGCAAGAAAGTTTCTCAAGTAAATTCCATCATCTTTAGCCGTCCAAATACAAGTTCCTACAGTTCCATGTTTGCACCTATCACGGAGCCATAAGTGCTGCGTTTCAGGCCAAAAGCTTTCAAAAGAGACAGATGCATGTGGCGTCTCTAATTTGCACCAATAGAGAGTTGTTCCCCAAAAGTTAACCTTGAAGTTCCATTGGTAATCATCTCCATGATTAAGCAAACGATGATACCCCAAGTCATCGTCTTTAGACTGACAATGCACAAGCAACCCAAGTTTGCTTAGCCCGTTAACCACATGAATGTAATATCTAGAAGGTCCTGGTGGTGGTAACGCGACCCTTGGAACCTCAGCCCCCACTAAAGCCACCGTGAAAAGAAAGAAAACGACAATATTCTTTATCATTTCCTAATACACCTTTAGCTTAACTACCAATTTGTGTTGGACATGTGAATAAATATACATACTTATAGTACATGCAAGAAACTATGTAAATGCATGCTATGGTTGTAAAAAACTTAATGATTTAACTAATTTCGGTTATGCAACACAATTTAAGGTTAATTTTGGGATAATTTTAGAGATTATTAGATTTTCAATAACAAAATTCCTCGAATAGATAATAGTTACTAGCCCAAGAATAATAAATATTTGATTGATTTTTAAAATACTTTCATAAAATGGACAACAAAATATGCATACTTTCCAGTAGAAAATATAAAATAGAGAAAGCAATTCATAGATTACATATGGTATAGCACTCAAGGTATTAAATTCCCGATTTATTTTTTTAAGTTGAACTTTCAAACTTTTTACCGAGGACCTTAGAAATTTTAAGGTGAGGGAGAACAGATAAGTTCAAAAAATTCTAGAACTATAGTTTCAAATAAGAATTGTCATCCATAAGGTCTAAAACGACTTGTCATCCATTAGGTGATCCATCAATAGGAATATCCTACACCCCATATCTCATTAGTGGCATAAAGGGCACATCACACTTTTGGAAGTCCATAAACTTGAACTTAGTTCGTGAAGCCTCCGACCAAACCTTGAAGTCATGACTTCCATTGCTTCATTCTCATTATTGGTGGATTTTATCTCGCAACTTCCCAACTTAACCAAAACTCAATTCAATTGAGGTAGTGGTTTGCTTTGAGGGGTGTTTAATTCCTATAGTGATCGTCTTTGGTTGTATGAACAATATTTCTTAGGTGGTTGTATGAACAATATTTCTTAGGTCTACTTATGTGGTTTGTACCAAGGCATTTTCTATACTGTCTAGGGCTACTACGTGCTCTCCACGGAGGCATGCTTGCCATTTAGAATTATGGTCATAGGAGGCTGGGTCCAAGGTATTTCACCTCGTACTAGGTGATAAGGTTACCCAAATCCTCAGCCCAACGATCCAAGCTTTTGTTTTAGCAAGAACCCTTGAATCAAAGTAATTAATACCTCCTTATATGAAATTTGGATCAACCTAGAGATAAGGCTAGAATTAGATTACCTCTTACGATCGAAGATCTAAAAGCAAGATTTGGAACCTTATTCTAAATTGAGTCACTCCACAATCTAACTTGATCAAGGCTTGTTAGGTACATTCAAATGCGATAGGTTTGAAATTAATTGAGCTATTTGCGCATATGTTCAAATTTTGTTGTTGACATATTTTTTTGAATCGGATTTGTCCTCGAATCAGAAAAAAAAAATATGTTCAAATTTTGTTGTTGACATATTTTTTTGAATCGGATTTGTCCTCGAATCAGAAAAAAAAAATGACATATCTGCCACAACAAAAATACAATCTTTACCATTTTCAGTGTGCAGTCAACCAAGAACAAATTGTATAGATATATTAGTCCAAGGTTTGTTAGGTACATTCAAATGAGTATAAAATTCGTTTGGTTGTGATCTAGATTTAGTTTCTTTGCGTTTAAAACATTTGCTACAAAACTTTTGGATATCGTGCTTCATCTTCGACCAAGAAAAGTGTTTATGCAACATCTTATAAACTTTATTAATCCTGAGATGTCCCATTAAGGCACGACCATGTGCTTCTCTCCAAAGCAAATCTTTTATAGAGCATTTAGGAATACAAAGCATAAAAAATTTATGAAACAAATAATAACCATCCATAGCTTTTTTTTGCAAGACAAGATACATAAATATTTTTGAAATCTTGGTCATCTCTATATAATTAAGTAATATGCTCAAGTTCAATAATTTTTGCACTAAGAGAAGTAAAGAGATCGTACCTTTTAGATAACACATCAGCTACCATATTACCTTGCTTATATTTGATGACATACAAAAATGTTTCAATAAATTCCACCCACTTTGCATGTCTATGATTCAGTTTGCTTTGACCCTTCACATACTTTAAGCTTTCATGATCAAAATGGATCACCAATTCTCTAGGCCATAAGTAGGGTTGCCACACATGCCATATATGAACTAAAGCAAATAATTCTTTATCATAGGTAGCATATTTTAATGCTGACTCATTTAGTTTTTTACTAAAATATATTAAGTACTTTCCATCTTGAATTAAAACAACACTTATGCCCAAACCACATGCATCACATTCAATTTCTATAATTTTATCAAAGCTAGCCAAAACAAATGATGGTTTGCTTAATTTCTTCTTAAGAAAATTTGATGCATTCTCTTGCATTTCTCCCCATTTAAAAACAATATTCTTTTTCACTAAGTCATTCAATAGTTCAGTTATGGTTCTAAAATCATTTATAAATCTCTTATAGAGGTTAGGAAACTCGTGAAAACTCCAAAATTTACGTGCACTTTTTGGTATTGGCAAATCCATAATGAATTTAACTTTGTCTCTATCTAAAGCTACTCTACTTTTACCAACTATGAAGCCAATAGAGTTAACTTTTTCTATGCAAAAACTACCCTTATTAAAATTAAATTTATCTTTTCAATGTGTAATCAAAACTAGTTTAACATGTTCCACATGATCAAGCAAAATCTTCAAATAAATTATAATATCATCAATATAAACAACATGTTTTCTCATATATTTTCTCAAAACATTATATATTAAGCGCATGGGTGTACTAGGAGCATTAGTTAACCTAAAAGGCATTACAAGCCATTCATACAATCCAAACTTAATATTGAAAGTTGTTTTCCATTCATCTTCTACGTGCATTCTAATTTGATGATATCCAGATTTCAAGATAATTTTTATATCTAGACACGAATCATGCAATAAACAAGCAAATCATCTAACCTAGGAATAGGATGTCGATACTTTACCATGATTTTGTTGATGACTCTATTATCCATGCATATGCACCAAGTTTCATCTTTCTTTGGCACCAATAAGTCTCGTATAGAACATGGTCTCAAATTTTCCCGTACATAGCCCTTCTCCATGAGCTCCTCCACTTGCCTTCAAATTTCTTTTGTCTCGGTTGAATTGACTCGATAAACTGGCATATAAGGAATAACAGTCCTTGGAATGAAATCTATTTTATGTTCAGTACCTCCAATGAGAGGTATTTCTTTATCTTGAAACATTTCTTCAAATTCCTAGAAAAGAGATTGAAAAATACCCGGCAAAACGTATTTCTTTATCTTGAAACATTTCTTCAAATTCCTAGAAAAGAGATTGAAAAATACCCGGCAAAACCATGTTGTTATTGTTAGAGACCAAAAATCCTCCATTGTACACAAGTACAAAAATCGATTTTTGTGAAAACCTTCTCACCTCTACAACCGTAGCCAAATAACTCTCTTTCTTTTTTCTTCAATTTCATCTCTTTTTTCATTATTCTTTTTTTTTTCTTAGATTTTTCTCTATTTTTTCACTCAACTCTTGTTTTTCTAACTCTTTTTCCTCACACTCTTTCTTTCTTTTCTCCAACTTTAATTGATCAGCAAATACATTTGCAAAACTCAAAGGTACATGAATGGTTTTTCTACCATCTTTTACAAAAGAATACCTATTCAAATAGCTATCATACATAACCCTCCTATCAAATTGCCATCACAAAGAACTTCATCTTTATATTTTTCCAAAGTAAATGATATTAAAGCTTGAGAAACTACCTTCATTGTTCCACTATCATTGAGTCATTGGAGCTTGTAAGATTTAGGATGATCTTGGGTCGGAATTTGTAACCTTTTGATCAACATGGTACTTACAGCATTGGTGCAACTTCCACTATCAATGACAAGACTACAAGCAGTCCCCTTGACTAAACACCGCGTGTGGAACAAGTTGTCTCTTTGATCATCAACATCCGTAACTTGAGTTTTAACAAGTCTTCTTGTAATAAGTGCCAAATGAATCCAATCTTCCAATTCCTCCTCATTCTTCTGGACTTCTTCAACTAGATCATTGATCTCCCCTCCATTTTCCTCGTCTTGGTTCATGATTGTACACACAGTAGTAAAATATGTTTAGGACCTCAGACACTCAACTCACTGATTTTACACTTAGGGGCACTCTTGTTTATACACACAAAGGTAGGTTGTTTGGGAAAGTGTGATCAAGGTAGGCTAATATATGGGTAAAACAATTATGATAGTAGCAAGCTATTCAAGGCAATCAAGATAAGTTAATTATGAAATAACAACAAAATAAAACAAGTGAATAAACAAATAAGCGACAAAGATATTTTTCAATATAATTGCACACTGAAAAAAAGAATTTCAAAGAGAATGGTCGTGAAGATCGAACACAACAATTCTAGATTTATATGCTTTAGGGAAAAATGAGAATTGAAATTTATTTGATCTTCAAATAAATGTGCAAATGAAGTAATAATAAGGATTTATTAAGAGAAATATGACAGAATGAATAGCCCCATCCATTTACTATATGTACCGATGAAAGTGAGAAAGGTAATAAGCCTTACGAACAAGGGGCAAAGCAAGGGTTGTTGGCAATGCGACATTGGCATCTAGCAAAGGACCAGTGAAAGCCAATGATAGAGCTTACCAGTAGGTCGAGCCTACCTAATTTCGGATTTTTTTTTTCAAGATCTAAATAGGATCTTTAAGAGGATGCTAAGAACAAAATAGAAAGATAATGAAGAACGATGGAAATGACAGTAAGAAAATAAATAACAGCTTTAAAGAAACGATAAATAACAGTGAAAATTAAAGATAAAATCAATTCTAGAGTCAGCCACAAAGATGCAATCTACGCT